GTAATGCCATAGTGATCGTTTGATATATGGACCTGCAGCGGAGTTTAGGCCCAGACACGGTTAATGACGTCAGTCTGAACGACCGGATAGCTGTTAACTGTCGGTCAAAGGCAACACCTTGGAGTTTTGTTTTTATCTTTCCTGTCTGAATTTGGACATTTTAATATAGTAATCACTGGTAGTCCTTTTTGGAGCCACACTCAAGTTTATTAGACTTTCCACAGTTCCATATGCACTTGACTGAAAAATCAGTAGCACTCCCCGTTAACATTGCTGTGCGTTCTTCGCTAACTCTGACTCACTCTTTCACATATTTTCTGTTTCTGTCTTCCAGCTGAGGCCGTTGACAGCGACCCTTCCAGGTAAACAGACTTTATATGCAGCTGAGAATAAATCAGTGTGACTGAAATGGAGAGAGTACAGAGGACATGGAGAGAGGACAGTGATGGGCTAAATTTAAACCAAAATTGCTTTTTCCATGATGTATACAAATCTATTTCTAGAGGGGCGGACACCTGACTTTGCAGTTATCAACAATACTACATCTTGACTGTCACTATGGGATCATGCATTTTATCTATTATATTTCCCAGAATGCAATGTGCTCGGTCAGTGCGCGTTCGGAAGTCCAGACCTGTTTCCCAATTCTGCCACACACTCTTCAATACAGACATACTGTCCTACATAGAGGTAACACTCACATTCATTCACACAGAAAACCAAATCCGCTCTTCATTTGTTTTTACTTGTCTTGTATTGTTTGCTGCGCTGCTGTTCAAACCTTCCAAATGAAAACCTGGCACATTGATGCAGAAGAATTGGGGATTGTTGAGGGTTCTTGCAGCACATGCGCACAATGACAGCCCCCCACCCCCCTTGCCCCCTCCAGTGTAGTTACTGCTGCCTTCGTGTGTATGGTCATGCTTATGGCTTACTGCTGGCTTTCTCTCCTTTCAATCCATTCCCCCTTTTATCTCCTCCTCTCTCTCTTGTGAAAGGATTAAAATGCACTGGCCTCTTTGCTGCCTCCTCTCGACTCCTCTATTCAGTGTGTGTGCACATGAGCGTATGTGTGCGTGCGCGTATGCTTATGTGTGCCTCTTCCCACTGCCTCTAAATCTTTATTCCCCTTATTGTCCCCTCTCCCTTCTCTTCTAATCTGCTTTTTCTGTGTCCCCGCTCTGCTGTGTTTGGCTTGGTGCAGAAGAAGAAGGCGAATGTCTCGGACACAGGTACTCAGCACCGTCTGTGTGACTGCTTATGCAGTGCATGCAGACTTGGGACTGTTTACCACAAAAAAGCAGTCACCATGTCTAAGTCGTGTCCAGTGCAGCTTTTTTCAGGGAAGTTTTAGCAGCAGGTGTAAAGCTCTCTTTATGAAATGTGTATGCAGTATTCCCCCTTCAGTCTGGGTCTCTCATGTTCATTAGCCAACTTGTAAATCACTTTGCTCAACCTTTTACGATAGAATGTGCTATAGAAATAAAATTGACATTGGCAGCCTGGCCTCAGCAACACGCACCGTAAATGTTTAATCTACTGAGGCCCTGAAAAACTGGTGAAATACTCTTAATCTTACCATTTGCATGTTTACATACAGTACAACAGCTGAAAATCATAGAAGTTGCTGGGTTTTTATTTATTTACGTTACACCTATAGTTGTACTATATAATACAGATTTTTTTTTCTGTGTACATCTCATCTCTTTATTCTCTTCATCATGCCTTCCACAAACATTTGAGTAGAGTTTTTCTCCGACTAAAATGCCCAGTAGACAAAAAAGAGCAGACAAGAAAAACTGGTGCAGCTGCAAATGCACAGTCACGTTAAGCTCCAATTTAACAACCAAAGAGTCAAAAATATTTCCCATTTTCTCTCATTTGATGATGATGATAGCTCAGTCATTTCAATGCACACAAAAGTTCAGGCATGAACTTCTGTGCACAATCATGAGACTGGCAGGTTGAGTTTATTATGAACCTCATAATAATGATATTCATTCTATGCATCAGTGAGGAAATTGCCTAAAAATCACCTTGACTGGTGAGCTATCAAATTGACAACCATTATCAGTGTCACCGCCCTAATTTATTGTAGCACTTTTATCGTTGAAAATATCAGCTGTAGGTTAGCCTAGCATAGCGCATAAACTGGATGCAGAGAAGAAGAGTTAGCTTGTTTTGTTGAAAAAGTTGTTTTTTCTAAAATATTTTTATATATTTCTTTTTTTGTGTGCCTTAAACTAACATAGGACACTGTCAGTCTGCATGCTAGCTCTTGTTTCCACTGTGCTAGGCTACTAGCTTTAGCCAAAGTCACAAGTAAGTCTTGTGACTGGTAATGCCCCTGTGCAGTTATATGGGCAGTTATTTTTGATGCCCCTATTTGAATGAATGATAAAAGAGCCATAACCTTTTAATTATCGCTTGGTCTTAAAAACATCATGTGTAGAATCGACAGTCGAATCTGTTTAGAAAATCCTTTAAAGGTTAGCTAAACTTTTCCTGTGCATGTGCAAAGTTTCACTAAGGCTGCATATCCCATCTGAATCTTGCAGTAATACAAAAAGGATCATCATTACATTACAGAAGTGTCCCATAGATTTCTATTCAGGACTCTTTAAGTCCTGAATAGACTTGCTGTCGACTTGCTTTTATAAAGTCTTTGTTTTAGCTTCACATAATGGACACGGTGGCATGTCAGTCCTAGACTCACCACAAAACCAATAAACACGCTCCCCCAAATGCATTTTGTTCATATTTTCACCTGATGCCAGTACGAACAGTTTCACTACTCATCCACAAGATTTAGTTTTTATTGTTATGTAACTCAGTGACTTCAGTTGAATTTACAGGGATAATAGTTTTTAGTTACTTGTAGCCAAGCGCCCTTAAAAGAACCTCAATTGATGAAACTTGTACTTTTCAGTCATCTTTAGTTTCTTGCATTGCATCTTTCTGCCTTGCATATTTCCCTTCCCTGTTATTGGTCTTCCTTTCTTTCATCCTTTTTTTCCTCCCCCTCTCTTTGCATCTCCCTCTGCACTCTGTTTCTGTCTTCAGCACCGCATTCTTGTCTCATCTCTCTTCTTCTAACCGTCTTTTTTCTGCAGAGCTCTGGACAGCAGATTCCTGTGGTGGTTGAAAGCTGCATTCGCTTCATAAACCTTCATGGTGAGTCAGTTTTTGTCATATCAGTAAGTCATGCTTTTAGAGCTTTGGACAGTGAAAATGAGTAGGTGGAAGGACCTGTTTTGTATTTTTTTGTGCACTTCTGCATATCAGGCATCTATGAACGCGTCATATGGTGTGAATATGTGTTTGTGTGTATCGCAGGCCTCCACCATGAAGGAATTTTCAGAGTTCCAGGCTCACAGAGGGAGGTGAACCTCCTCAGAGATGCATTTGAAAGAGGTAAGTGCTTTCCTCGTTTTTTCTTTCGTTTTTTTGTTTGTTTGTTTGTTTTTTGTACATGTGCTGAGATAGCAGAACTTTTTCCTCAGATGGAGAAAACTAAATCAAAGAAGAGAAGTTGTTTATTTACATTGCAATAAATATGTCAGTTAAAGTTTACACAATTAAAACTGCAGAACACTATAGTTGTTCCATTAGCACAAACTAGTGGTTTACATAAACTGCGTTTGCAATGAAGCCAGAGCCAGTGAATGTAAGTCTAGCATAACTGAGGGTTGACCTCAATCGAAGTAAATTTTACTCGAATGACTGAGCTGGATCATTCATGGCCATTTATTTACACAGGAATACTACATTTGTCTTTATCAAGCTTGCAATGTTTCCCAGCCATCTATCTTCTTCCACTTATCCAATTCAGGGTCATTGTTGGGGTGGCTCGTGGATTCAAACCCAGGAAACTTCCTGTCATGGTCCTGGGATTTTTGAGCTTGGAATTTTGAACATTTTTAGTTTTGTACAATCAGTTGGGTTTTTTATTACTCACAAAATGAGTTTGATGTCTTTAGATTCTCTTTAGTTCCAGTTTCCATTTGTACTAGAGATTTATTGTTCCTCAACGTTTGATTGCCTTTTATTCACCAATCTCTGTGGTTTCATAGTTTCAGGTGTTTATTGTTTAGATTTTTGTATTCTTTTCTTTGTTCCCATTAGGTAGTTGTTTTCCTTTTCTCATAACCTTAAGTAGTTTCTGCTGTGTAATTAAAAACATCTACCAGCTAGCTAAACTTACCTAGTTTGCCAGTGAGTCCTGTATTTGGGTCGTGTTTCTTTCAGAACCATGACACTTTTTTGTTGTTGCTATGAGGCAGTGATGCTAACTACCACACCAACATACCATCCTAAAATGGTTTAATGTGATTAATTATAGTTTTTCAACCATCCATCCATCTACCAATCACCATAGGGCTAGATGCATGCTACATTCTGGGCCGTGTCAGTAATCAGTTTTCAGTTATTTTTTTGGCATCAATGTTCCACCAAATCATTATGCCATATGTGGCTGTTTTAGACAGGATGCACTGCCTGAAACCCTATCCACACACACACACAAAACATTGTCCAAATACCCCAGCAAGTTTGTCTGCGGCCCGCTTGCCCATCTGCTCTGGATGCTCAGATGTCAAATTGCATGTGCCTCAGGATATCTCTGAACCCTAGTTTAGGTCTGACATGCTTTTTGTTTTTTTGATGAAAAAGATAATGTAAAAATTATTAACTTCCCGCTAACCATTGGCCACAGTGAGTTTTAAGAAACACCCCACAACAGCACACATAAAATAGGTCTGGGAGAAATGACAAATATAATACGTCTATAAACAAATATCTGCATATGACCACACAGATATCTGTAGGTAGAGGACATGACTTTTGGTTCTAAAAGCTTTCTGGTTTCTGGTCCGCTTCTAGTTCGGTTGGTACTGACAGCCAGTGGCTTTGTCTGCGAGCTTGTAAAAAGGTCATGTGAAGTGCAGAAGACTAAACGGTTTTCCCAAATCAACCTCAAACTACCGGCTGTTATCTGACAGTTTTAGCTTCTTAATAGGTCTTTGTACTCATAAACAAGAACTAGTACACAACGTTTTGGCTCACATGTTCTTTAGTTACAGCCCTGAAAAGCAGACCATGTTCCAAGAGGCTGACACCAACGTTACAGTGTCCTCCTCATGATTCTGCAAGGGCTTGGATCTGCTTGGAGAGCACCAAACATAGCACTTTCTTCACTTTTCTTTTCTTCTGTGTTGCAGTTTTTAATAACAAAGCAGTTCATCATTTTCTCCTCATGTGGATGTCGCTTTTTTGAGAGAGAGAGAGAGAGAGAGAGAGAGAGAGATTTTTAATGTGTGTGAGTGAAACAAATCCTTTCAGTTTACTCAAGTGGAACTAAACGAGTATAATAGGATCACCCACTTGTCCATGTTGTCAGCAGCTCTTCATGATTGAGTCAGCAAGCGAGTATTAACCTGTAACCTGGTCTAAGTTAGATTGCAAATACATCTTACCTTTACAGTTTTGCAAATTCTAACTGGCATTAATCCTTTTTGCCAGTGACTTTCATCATCTATTCGCTAACTTTGTCTTTTCAGCGCTGAGCTGGTAGCATGCAGTTTACACTGTGAGATCTGAGACAACAACAAGAGCTAAAAGGCTTCATAGAGTGAAGGAAAAAGCTCATGCCTGTGTCCTCTGCTACTCCGATTCAGTCATCTCACGTGTGTTTAACCTCTGTGTAGGAGAGGATCCTCTGTCAGATAGTGAGTGTGACCTGGACTCTGTGGCCGGTGTGCTGAAGCTGTACTTCAGAGGCCTCGAGCCTCCTCTCTTCCCCTACGACAGCTACACTCAGCTGCTGGAGTGTGTCCGTAAGACCCCTTATGTAACTTCTCTATGTGTGTGTGTGTGTCTGTTTTCAGATTGTGTACTGGTTTCACTTGGGCTTTTTGATGTCTGCTTTCAGTTACTCGAGTATTTCTGGAACATTGTAGTTCCTAGATGCTTTCTCAACCTTGGTTAAGCTGACTCAGCCCGTCACGTACTGTGCAGTGAACCGTTTTTTGCCTGTGATCCTGTTTATCTTGATATAACTTCACTGATGCTCAAACACAAAGCAGCAAAAACAATGCAGCGTTGATGCAAGAAGATGCAACTTATACAGTTGGTTCTTGCAGCGCATAGTTTACTGTGTGTTTATCCCTTCCACTATCTCCCTGTTATTTCTGTAGGTGTCTTCCCAATTCTGTTTTTTTATTTTTCCAGGACAGATGGTCTGAGTCACAATTTGCACAGCTAACCAGTGCTGCAAACCTGCCTGGGGGTTGTTTACTCCCCTTAAATTTGTAGATTTTCCATTAGTGGCATAGCATAATCAATCCATCCTCCTCACCTCTTTCTTTAAGGAAGGGTTTTGGGTGAATTTTGGTCAATGCAGGCTTGGAAAAACTTAAATGCAACAACTAAAAGTTTTAGTTCAACAGGTCATTTTGTTTTCTTCCTGTCATCAGAAATTGAGGAGGAGGTGGAGAAAGCCGTCCAGATTAAAACGATTGTCTCGACCTTCCCGAGGCCTCTCCTCATCGTGATGCGTTACCTTTTTGCTTTCCTCAACCAGTAAGTTGCACCAAAACCCAGTGTGGGATATTTTCACATATCAGATATGTGCCATGCTCATAAAACTGCACACTCATGCCAGAAATAGAAAGTCACCATGTGCGTGTTTGTGTTTCTCTTTTTTTCTCAGTGTGTCTCAGTACAGCGACGAGAACATGATGCAGCCCTACAACCTGGCTGTTTGCTTCGGTCCAAGCCTGCTGAGGGGGATGGATTCTGATGACGCTGTTGCTAGGCAGCCACAGGTTAACGACCTTGTCAAGACCATGATCCTTCAGCATGACAGCATCTTCCCCAGCCAATCGGAGCTGCCGGGCCCTGTTTACGAGAAGCACATGACTCTGGAGCAGGAGTACTGGTGAGAGGAGTACTCATTGATAAAAATGTTGTTTTTGCTGCAAAAAGACAACAACTCTAAGTTCATAACAGACAGCAATTTTAGTGAACACAACGCAAAGTAAGAAAACAACTTTTTCAGTTTGACATCAAAAGCAGCGAGTTGCGACCTGCTAGTCATGAAAATAATGTTGTCTAGTCCCTTTGTTAACCCTTTGTTTAAGCCAACGTTCATTGGATTGGCTGCCCCTCACAAACCGATGGTTTGAAATGCAGGTGGGTGGGGCTCTTTGTTTACATCAAACTACAGAGGACTGATTTCAAAGACACCCTGAAAATCAAAGTGTAAAAATTCTGCAGCTGGCTAGTTCATTTTGCAGAAATTTACTTGTAGCAACTCAAAATGGTACTCAGTTTGTATGCCCCGACCTGCTCGTATACATGCATCACTACAAATGAGATGGTGGATAGTGTCCTGGGGATGTCTTCCCACATCTGGACCATCACTGAGCTCCTGGATAGGCTGAGGTGCAACCTGGAAGCATCAAATGGACTGAAACATAATTTCCCCGAGGTGTTCCATTAGGTCAGGTGGGGTCCTCAGGCCACCACATGAAGTCTGTTTCACATTGTTGGTCAGAGACATTCACACCAGTGTCCTGCTGGAGGTCATTTTGTAGCTCGGGCAGTTCTCAGCCTGCTCCCTCCCTGCTGATGAGTTAAGGACGTTCTACATCCCTGTCCAGCTCTCCTAGAGTAACTGCCTCTCCCGGAGTCTCCTCCATGCTCTTAAGACTGCGAGGAGACACAGCAAACCTTCTGCCAATGGCACGTATTGATGTGCCATCTTGAGGAGTTGGACTACCTGTGGAACCTCTGTAGGGTCCAGGTATTGCCTCATGCTGCCAGTAGTGACACTAACCTAATGCAAAACTAGTGAGAAAAACTAAAAATACGAGGAGGGGAAAAAATGCCAGAGGCCTCCAGCTGTAAAAGCATTTCTGTTTTAGGGGTTGTCCCATTGTTGCCCCTCTAGTGCATTAACACCAAAGCAGCTGAAACTGATTAATACCCCCTCTGCTACAAAACTGAGAGGATCAATATCCCAGAAATTCGGCTGATGTTTGATCCTGTACTCGGATTAAAAAGTGTACCTTTGGGCTTTTTTGAGCAGTAAATTAAGTAAATACATAAAAGTGCCTATCACGCTCAGTCTGAAAAGATATTTGTTGAAGTATTTACTGTCGTCAGTAAATAATTGGGCAGCAGCCTTTTTGCTCCAGAGATTTGTTGTTCATGTCAAACTTTTAAGACTCAGGCTGAGATGGTTCCAAGTACATAAAGCATCTTCGCCCCTCAGCCCCCTTTTCATGGTTCATCCTCTTGAAACAGAATTTCATGCCACACCAAAGGCACTTCTGTGTAGCTCACAATGCTTTGTGTAAAAACATAACGCTTAATGCTATTAAGCCGACTGCTCGCTAAAATGGAACACTAGCCTCCAGGCTAACCCCCTACAACCCAAAGTCACTCTGTTTCCTTCATGATCTTTTTATTAAAAATCATTCTGTGTGACATTAGACCAAGCCTGAGGTTTTAGGGTCATTTGGGAAATCTCACAGCAGTATGAAGTCTTGCATAAAGAGAGGCTGTGGTGTGACAGTTAGCGGAAGAGAAGAGGAACCGAGCATGACTTTGGTTTTTCTGCTTTTCTGCAGTGAACCAATCACAGAAGAGGGAGATGGGGAGACTGAGCATCTGCCCAGTGAGGATGGTCAGTACACATAAGCACCAACCCTGCCACATTATTGTACTGTTACACTACAAAGGTACATTATAACCTTGCTTTGTGTGTCTGCTGGTGTGTACAGAATGGGAGGCGGTGGCTATGTTTGACTACGTGGCAAGATCCCCAGCGGAGCTTTCCTTCAAGCAGGGAGAGCCTCTCATCCTTCACAGCAAGGCCTCTTCTGATTGGTGGCGAGGAGAGGTGGGAGGGGTTAAGGGCCTCATCCCTCACAAGTACATCAGTGTGCTGGAAGGGTGAGTGACATTTCTATGTCACTGCCAAAATGAAATTTCATGACACCCTTAAGGCATCATTATCATTTCATACAGAATTTACTGTTTTTGCCTGCTATTCAGGTCAGTTTATTCAGTGGCACAATTCAAAGTGAAATTAAGGCAAATCGGTTTCCCTGAGTGAGCGCCACGGCAGCCTGCAGTATGACTGGATAGATTTTCTTTAATAACTCATACATTTGGATACTGTTAAGGTTTAAAGTTAGGAGTGTGGCTGCTTTGAACGACAAGTGCCGACACGGGCACCTTGGGTAATTCAATTCACTGAACTGGACCTCTCCATTACAAATGGCCCCACTAATATTCTTTACCAGTTAAAGTGACAGGAAGTGACAAAATGAAAGAAAAACAGCGTCTGTGTGTGTGTGTATGCTGATTGGATGCCATTAAATCAGATAAACTGGTAGAATTTAAAACCCAGAAGTGGAGAGAGAAAGTATTTCAGCATCAATTCATATTCTCTGCTTGTGTGTAGGTGTCTGAACTGCATATCTAATTCATAGTGCCTTATACCAATCCACAGTTATCTCTAATACAGATATGAAGAGATAACAGTGCTATGATATCCAACATTTATCAAAGTTAAAAACTGTGGCCTCAAACATTCCCAGGAGGGTGATTAAATATCAGTGCAGACTAAGCACCATCAGGACATCACAAGTTTCTCAAAGGTCATTTTCTTTTTTGAGGAGCTGTTGCTTTATTTTGAAGTTATTTTGTTCTTGTCACACATAAGTTCACCTCTGCTGCTGGTCCCTCCTACAAAACGTTTGTTGCTCAGTCTTCATCTCATATTTAAAACTGTACTGCTTGTACTTTCTCTTGTGAAATATATATCTCTCTTCTTCTTCTCCCTTAGGTCAGATCGAGGGAAAAGAGAAGAAGGAGGGGGAGGTGGAGGAGGAGGCAGCACTGGAAACCTGACAGCAGAAGATCCACAGACAGAGAACACAACCCGGTACACAGAAGCATACACAAACGAACAAACACACTCAAATGCACACTGCGGTTTATTAAAAACATGTAATAGCCATAAACATCTAAGTACACAAACTCATACGTCTACACAGCTCCACATTTTTGTACAAAGAAGCATATAAGCTCGTGTGCGTAAATAGACTTGAAAGTTCAGATGTTTCTGTGTGTGTCTTCACAGGATGCGGGTGAACAGCGATAGCGCTTCGTTGCCAGGACGGCAGAGAGGAAGTGAGGGGAGCCCTAGTCGAAAGCCACCAACCTCCCCTGCCACACGACACCTGCCAGTGTAAGACTCGCACTTATCTTGACGCACTGCAGGCCTCATGCATGTTCAGCATTACTCAGATTGATATAAATTAGGTTTGCAGCCAGTTGAGACTGTGAATAAACTCTGTTCAGGAAAAAACTGCATGAGGGGAAGTAATGTACACGTGAGAGCCGGGAAGTTTTTGCATTACATTTTTTGTACAGCACCACATCACCCTCTGTTTGGACTGCTTACTGAGAGTTACAGTGGGAGAAAATAAAACTGCCATTATCTATATACGTGTGCATCTATCTATACAAACATTGTGCAACATTACCATTTACATAGTAGTACAGAGTCTTTATTTGCATACATCTGGTCATTCGCAAACTGAAGGCATATTACATCCACTGTAATATCTCATTTTCCATTTACAGTCAGGTACATTCAGTCATTTCTTTAGGTTATGTATTACAAAAAACTGTATCATAAGTCTACACAGAACTTGCAACAAACTGATGCATTCTCATTAACTTTCCCAAAGTTTTACAGCTTCCTCCAGAGTAAAGGTGCACGCTTCTCACCTGGCATTGACAGCTGAGTTAAACAGCAATCTGACAGCCTACACAATAATTCGCTTCAATTACGTCTTCACGGCTTCAATCGCTACAATAACGTCTATGTAAAAGTGTAAACTATTTAAGGGTGGGTGATTTTTCCCGAAGTGGTTGTGGCAATCACCAGCCAATCAGGATTGGTGGAATGAGACTGTTGCTTTTGAGAAATACGCAGGGAGGAGCATCCCATGGTGAGACATTGAAACGAATGCTAGGATTGAGAACTCACTTTTAACAGGAAGAAACCTCCAGCAGAACCAGGCTCAGGGAGGGGCAGTCATCTTCCTTGACCAGTTGGGGGTGGGGGAGTTGGGGGAGGAATAAAAGACAAGCTGTGGGTGATTAATAATAACAAATAATAATAATTAAATGCAGACTGGTGTATAAACACATAAAGAGTAAAAAAAAGGTGAATGGAGATGAAACACTCGGTCCATCATGGGAAGCCCCCAGCAGTCTAGACCTATTGCAACATAACTAAGGGAGGGTTCAGGGTCACCTGAACCAGCCCTAACTATAAGCTTTGTCAAAAAGGAAATTAAGCCTAACCTTAAAAGTAGAGCGGCTGTCTGTTTTGTTTTTTTAATGTTTCAGAACTCTTAATAACAGTGCACTATTCTGGGTTAAACTGCTAGTCACTACTCTTGTATTTTTCAGTTTTACTTCATGGTGCCGGTGTCCTTGTGTCTTTGTATCAGTAGCCCGACACACTGATGCAGAAATTTGTCCATTTGGCTCATCTCCACAGTATTTCTGAGAAAAGCTGCAGCTGCTTACAGGTTTAGGCGGGAGCAGGACTTTCTGCTGCTGAGGATGAGGAATTAGACTTTGTGGATTTATGAATCAGATTGTGGAAAAGCAGAGCTACAGCATAGAAAGTAACATAGCAGGTCAGAACACTGCTTTCCACAATTGCACAATTCAGTTGTAGAATAAATGAGGCCAAGCCCAAAACGTTAGTCTTTATAGCGTGAGAAGATGGAGAGAAACTTTTCCAACACATTAAAGTAAGGTTCAGATCAGAGGTGGCATCTGCTCGTGTCTTTCAGCATCTCTGTTAAGCTGTTTATGTTTTTTTCTTTCAGGTCTCAGGAGCGAAGGCACACGTTGGACACTCTGAGGCAGGGAAACTTCAGACCCCCTGACAGACCTCCATTCATTCAGGCAGAAAGAACACCAATTGATAAGGTTAGTAGTGTGCCATATTCAACCCTTTGTTAACAACCAAAACAAAAGCATTACATTAAGAAACATTCTAAAATGTGGGTATGACTTTTTATAAAAAAACATCCAGAAGTTCAAATGTATGCACAATATGAAGCAGTAACTTTGCTGGTGGTGTTTTTTTACGATGTTTCATCTGACGAGTGTTAGCTTGCTAGTTTTGCTCGTTGACGTTAGATTTATATTAGAGACTTTTGCATTGTGGCTCACAGCTGCAGGTCTATTTTTGCTTTAAAATGTTAGTTTTAGAGTTGCATCTCTGTCCTGGCTTGCTTTACTGGGTGTTTATTATGCACTCACATAGTCTAAAAGTAGATGTTGGTGCAAAATATGAAGGTTGGTATTACTACATAAAGACTATTAAAAGCAGCCGTGGTGGGCTTTGGTGGTTTTTTTTGCTCTTCTTTCTGGTTAACACCACTAATGCAACTGTGAGAAAGGCGGTTATATATATTCAGAACTGATGATTAGAGAGGGGAAGTACTTTTTATTTTACAGAGAAGGGCTCTAGATAGAAAAATCTGAAAATCCCCTGGAGCCCACTGAAACTCTGAGGTCTTCATCACGGCTGTTTTTATTAGTTCATTCCATTTATTACTTCAGATTGCTTTAAAAAAAAAATCATTTAAACAATCAGTTGCCATATTTGTTCCAAGTGACGCATTTTTGTCAACCTGCACAGTAACTTAACTAACCACTTACCACCACTGCAAACTGTGCATGATCAATCACTGCTCTAAGGCATTACTATCATCACATAATTATTTCCCAGCATACAGTAATGTTTAATCAAAGCATGTTTTCACATAATAAGTGTGTGGTTGTGTAGCATTACTTCTTGAGAGCAATTTCCTCATACTCTTTCCATCCTTGTTAAATTGGACAAGCAACGCATGTGATAAAACACTCCGATAATCTGAATAAAGAATGACAGCCACAGACCGGTTTAATGTCAGACAATATTTTTACGGACCGGCCTTTAAGGTGTCGTGGATAAATACAACAAAATAAAATGATACGATCAAGACAAAAACTGTGGTATTTTGTAAATATAATAATAAATGCAAATTCACTGTGTAATTGTGTAACTTTATTAGCAGCGTCCTGAAATGCGCCAACAACAATGAGAATAACATCCTCCTCTCTGCCCCTTAAAGCTCTCTGGTCGCTATGGTAACGCATAAATATTTATTTCAAAATAAGACACACAACTTCAACACGGGAAACTGAGTTAACGATAAAAGCCCTGAAAACCTTAAATTTTACACCCGAGCCACAACTCTGGCGCCCTGGTACCAAACGACTCACGGACCAGTACCGGTCCGTGGCCCGGGGGTTGGGGACCGCTACTTTATATGATATTTGGATCACATCACTTCTTGATTCTGAGTAAGTAACTATGATGTTAGATGTGAGAGTGAATTCAGTCTACAGTGAGAACACCACCAACAACTTATGTTGTTCAGTCAGTGGACTTTCTGTTAAAGTCTAGATTATATTGACTTTGTATACAAAACTCCACCTTCAGAGTCGCTCAGTTATGAGATTCTAAGTTAGAGCCTTCACAAAAAAGTGATGAAAAAAAGGACCTTCCAGTCTTTAACAGTGTCAGGATGCAGCAGTAGAATAATGCAGTATGTAACAGAAAAACTTTGATGTTCACCTCCCCTCCTCCTCCTCCTCTTGCTCTCTCAGGAGATGATCAACCGTCAGATGAACTCTGTGTTCAAGGAGCTCCTGTCTCGCCAGCCTCCCTTGCAGGGGTCTGGCATCACTGCACCTGTGGCCACTGCAGCCCCTGCGCCCTCCTCTTCCTCCTCCTCCTCTTCATTGTCCACCTCCTCCTCTGTTCCTCAGGCTGCCCCTGTGGCCAAAAAAGCAGGATTCGGTCTCAGGGGACGGGCCCTTTTCAGACCGGTGGACTGAGACTGAGGAGGGGACAACCAGGAAATTATTGATTCATTGTCTGACAATGATAATTATCCCGCTGATGCCAATTGTGCATTTGGGAAAGATCTTGATTTTTTTTTCTTGTTTTTTCCTATTTTTTTTGGACACGTGTATAATAAGTGAGTCTCTGCCATCTCATAGTGCCACTATTCTCTGTGCCGTGTATGTCCAGTGTGTCTGGTTTTGGTCTCTTTTTTTGCTTTGTTGTTGTTTTTTTTATGGCCTGGTCTGCTTTTGTTCTCCATGCTTTTGGGATTTTTGGAGAATCAGGGATGTGACTTCACCAGACTGACTATTTAAACGCAGTTGCCATGATACTAACTGTACATCAACAACAGATGACTAAAACTGCCCCCTAGTGGCAGGTCTGAGATCAGTTCACCCAAAAACCTTTTTCCTTATTTAAAAGAGAAAAGAAAACTGATCTGGGGCCTGTGTCTAGGAGTGCCTTCACATCTTTTACTCTATATGTTTAATTCACTTGAAAAGATCTGATAATTTTCAATTCTGCATATTATAATAAAAATGTGACCCAGGCAGATGTGTATGGAACCCAAAGTGTTCAGTATTAGCAGCAAAACATTGTGGCATGATAAAAAGAAAGTGCTCCCTGTTTCAATTCTAAAGGTTTGACGCATCACATAATAAAAATAATCTTTAGCAGATCTTGAAATTAAGTAAATATAACCTCAGATGAAATACAAAATACAACACATTTTATTGAGGTATTGAAGTGTGTGAAGAACTAAGTACTCCTTTACTGCTTTCATATGAAGTAACAGAAATAGTGTCCAGGTGCTGCTATTCAAATCCACCTGATTAACTGAATCAACAAGCAAGTGTGACCATGTATCATCTGCAATGATCTTGGGAGGCATCTGTTGCTGTCCATCAGTGTAGAAAGGTTTTTTTTTACACTTTCTAAACGGTCTAAAGTCCATCATTCTATAGTGGAAAGGAATATTTACAAGTGATAAATATTTAGGAATGTTGCCAATTTTCTCAGGAGTGAATGTCCCGGGAAATTTATCCCGAAGTGATATGAGCTACAACTGAGTGAACAGGCCTCATTTAGAAAGTTTAAGTTATTAGCAGTATACCTAGAAAAACGCTGATCCAATATGGTTTGTATGGAACAGGAAATGGCAGATTTTAAACATGATTGATTATATGACAGTAGCTAACTATTTCACCAGTTAATGAAAGTTTACTGTCCAACCCATTTGTTTTTTCCAGCTGACTCTTTTTGGAGAACAACATGCTAGGCACATCATATTTGTTGCTTTATATAAAACATGTTTATTGGAGTTACAGCAGTAGCTAATTTAGAATTGGTTTGGTTTGGTTAGCAGCTAACCCTGCTAGCTCAACAGCTAGCAAGGTTAGCTGTTAGCTGCTTTAGGACGGTAGCATACTGCTAAAAAAAAAGCTAGTGAAAAACACCTCTGTCATTAAATAGTGTGTTATTGGAGAAAAAAAAAATAAAACAAAAAGATTTTTTTTAAATATTTTGTGAATATTTTTTTGAAAAATTCCTTTCAAGCTAAAAAAAATGATCAAGCAACTTTTTATAATGATTATCTCCTAAATCATCTCACAAATTACAACTTAACATTTACATTTATTATTTTGTTGATTGTTTATTTCATATTAATTTATTGAAAACTGAACACTTTGAGACTCCGTGTGTGTTAGCTAGATACGCTGTTAGCACTGAGGTTGGTATACTTGGTCTTTGCATAACAGCATGTTGTGTTGAAAAAAAACAGAGAAGAAAAACACATTCCCCTTCATATGTGACGTGGCCTGATATGTTGGCCAAATCTCAGGGCTTATGCAGAGTTAAGGACAGGCTAACTCAGGTTTGGCTTAGAAGGAATAAGAAAGGGTTTTCTCTCAGGTCTTAGGTCGACTTACTCTTCAGCTGGAAACTGTGCCCTTGTCTCGAGAGGCAAAACGGCCCCTATATCAGAGAAGTGTCCGACTCTTTCTCTGATTTAAACTGTGAACACCATGGCGCCATTTTGGTGCCACGATTGAAACCTTTGTCTCATTCATCCACACTTTGGGCCCCCCTTGCTGTGTTTATGGCACCATCATAGGCACTATAAAACATGGACGTAGCTACCGTGATGTCACCTGTTGATGTCTGAGGTCCCGTTTTGAAGCCACAAGATGAACATTTCTGTTGCCGCCATCTTGGTTGCAAGACACTGGATCCAATGAGGACAAGCAGCAGTGAAACTGCTTGCTCAATGGTCGATATCTTGTGACTGACAAGTCGTTAGACAGTGCATGAGCAGAAAATGCCACTGCTAATCTTCCTTTTTGAGACATGATATAACCAAGATTTTACTTTTTATTATTATTGTATATGACCCAAAACAAGTGACTAAAGTAAAGTTTTACCCAAAGACCCCTACAGTCTTTTTCAACAACAGCTATTGCCATCTGGTGGCCTTCAGAGAGAATGCAGGTTTTTAGGCACTTCTGCATTGGCTTTATTTTCCTTTACCAGGAAGCATGTTTTTTTCCCCACAGGTCCCATTCAAACGTGTTTCAGGATTCCTGCAGCGAGGTGAACAGCTCCTTTGACTCTAAAAGCATTTTAAAATCTTACATACATCATCTCACATTTTTTGTGTTTCAGTATTGGAAAAATGAAAGAAGAGTTGTTTTGTTTTCACCTTCTTTTATTGATTATGCATCTATGGTTAAAACACCCTGTTGTTCTGGATCACTGTTCGATGATGTCACTAAGTTTACTGCGTCCAACTGTATATGTGGTTAAAAAAATGAATAAAGATGACAAAGTGATGAATGGTTAACAGATTGTTGTTGTATTTAAGGGGATTGTTGTTCATTTGACTGGTGTGACTGCCACACGTGGTTCAGCTGAACTCGGGCATGATGGGGGTACAAGTGGTTGCGCTGTGCTTCTGAACATGGCTCTCCAGTAGTCACTCAAAGATTTTGCCTCTGGAAAAATAAGCAACCCCAACTTCCTGCGTGTGACAGTCTCTCTTGCAATCTGACTCATCACTGTGGTGAATCAGTGTTGTATTAATGTTAATTGAAACATGTTTACGACACAATTGGTCTCTGTGGGTGCATGTGTCATTGTTTCTGTTTTAGGAAACCACACCAATTCTGTAATGCGATCATTTGGACCCATCTGCTCCTTCTCCTAAAATAACCCCTTGACACAGCCACCCAACACACACGCACACACACACACACACACCACACATAGAGAGCTACTGCACTCCTGACACACTAAGTCGGTGTCAGACACTGTAGGTGTCTGTTGTGTCTCTGCATGTCCTGTAAATTCCACTTCAGCTTCGAGGGACATTGTGATGAAGCCGCTAAACTGATCTCATTGACATTTCAGATTAGCACTAAGCAGAGCACCCCTGCCCCATCTTTCTCTCCCTCTGAGGGTGTCTGTCAGTAAGAAAGGATTAAGATACCATTTTGTTTTTTTAAAAAAAAGGTAAGTAAGACATGATTTATTCATATCTTTGCTGTCTCTGTGGTGAATCGTAAATCTTGAATTGAAAGTTTCATAGGAAGCACCGATATATTTTTTCACCTTTTTGATAGAAATGTTCTAAATGCACGCGTGTTAGATCCGACCACTGGCTGCACTATATCTAATGCGACCACTGGCCGCACTGCAGAGCTTTCCATTTAAAAATGCCGTCTTAAAATTACCAGCTGCTATTTACAGATTTTGGACTGACTTCTTTTTCGGGAGGCTGAAGAACAGGTGGAAGTGCCAGAGCTCAGCTCACTTTTACACTGGCCTGCAATCAGCTGGAGGAGTGAGTCTCTGTCTGTGGGTTGAATCTAGTTGGCTTCAACAATTCTGCGTGATTCGAATGCAAACATTTACATTTGCTTTTAGCGAAGATGATGATGGTGAGCGACGACTGCCTGGTGGAGTGTAAGATTGACGACAGCGATGAAGACGACGGAGGGGAGGAACAGATAAACACTCCCCCTCCTCCCCCAGAGTTTGCATCCAAATCCTCAACCCCTGCACCCAAAGCTCCAACTCCACCTGGAGCTCTGACTACACCCAGGGCCCCGACTCCACCCATAGCTCCAGCTCCACCTGCTGCTCCTCCTACACCAGCAGCCACTCGTCCTGTCAGCAGGGATCCTCGTGGTATCAACCAGCACCTAAAGGTCCTGATGTTTGCTCTCTTTATTATGAGTCTGCTTTGTCACAACATCTGCCCTTGAGTCCTAAAATCCAGATGTCACACACAGTCCTACCAGAAAATTGTTTTTTTAACCTTCTACTTGGATCTGACCAGTCAGAACTGTTATCTATATCTAAGACAAAATATCTGAGATAAAAAAAAGTATTTTTGGGGAATTTGTACACTCTTTATAAGACTATCTTGGTTTTTAAAATGCTGCACACTTGTGAGACTGCACAATCATTTTCACCCTCATTTTCCCATCTGACAGACAGATGTCCCCGTTTATTTTATTTTTTTCCCGAGTTTCTTTTTGCCTTTTTTGGGAGGGGGCTCTTTCTCTTTGGAAAGAGTTAAATGGGACAATCTATAGATGACACAAATAAAACCCCAAATAACACAACAAAACAGCAGTGAAATAACCCTTAATGATTGAAAGAGTTAATGCAACAGAAAATCTCAGATAAGCCACACATGGCACATTTCATTTTCCCAAACTTTGTGACATTTTGATAATAAAACGAATTTAAATCATTTTATATTGTTTTATTTTGAAGTTAACTACATTATTTTTAATCATTTTTAATATAACATTAAGCTGACCAGAAATGCTGTGAATGGTATTCCCAGAGTGATCGCTCAGATACAGATATTCCAGATAATTTCCTGCTGCAAACATAGTTTCCAACATGAGTTGTCTGAGTGAAAAAACATAAAATATAATAAATTATTTCTGTTATAATGGAATATCTAGGAATAGGAATGAAATAGCTTTCAGTACAGATACACAAACCAAAACCTGCCTGCATGACAACCATGCACATTGTGCATGGTTGTCATGTTAAAGATCTAACTGATCAAGATAGCAGTTAAAACTATCCTGATAAAAATAGAATTAACTTTGCCTAGTTTATTGTGTTCAGCCTCAGCTTTCTCTCCTGTTACCTTTTACAGGTGGAGGTCAGTGATGTGTTGGCAGAACCCAGCAAACCTCACAGCATAGACCAAGTGTGGATTTACAGCGTCACTGGCTTTGAGAATGCTCGTATCTGGACGTACCAGTGCCTCTCCTTGCTTTTTGCTGTGCCCTGCGCTCTCGTTTGTGGCATTTTCCTGGCCATTCTTGCCTGCCTTCATGTCTGGTATGGTAGAGAGTTATTAAATATTTCTCCTCTGGACACACATTGCTTTATCTGCAAATAACCACAAACACACATCCACAGTATTATTAGGATTATTGGCATGTTTTTTTTTCCTAGCAGGAAAGAGTGTAGTTAGCCTCTAATGAAAAATCAGACACAGCCTCTACTTTAAAACATGTTCAATATAACATTTGAGTGCATGGACTATATATCAGAGATGGACAAAGTTGTCACCTAACCCCTTACATATTCGTCTCTGCCCAGTTCATACCAGCATCCTGTTTTACTGTGTGTATACAGTTAGGATTAGGACTAAGGGGCAGTGGCAGTTCTTTATGGCACAATTCACATGTGCAGAAATAAGTATGCAGACAATCACATTATAACAATGTCACATGAATAAAACTCTCTTCTAGACACTGAGGAAGGTTCACTAAAATGAAACCTCAGTGGACTAAGGTCATAAGTACGGAAGAGCCCACTTTTTTTTTCCAGTGGCCCTAATCCTCTTCCATACACAAGCAAAAGAAACCTTATTTACAGTCTTGGCTATCCTGTTAGCAGTATTGCAGATGTCTCACTTATAAATGTAAAATAATTTTTGGGTCAAATAAGATTTTGTTGTTGTTGTACTGCAAGTGTAGTCGCACCACAGCCAGCAGATATTCAGCAGTACTAATTTTCAGCTTTGTTACATGCGTGCAGAAATTTCTCCAACTTGTGTGAATCTTTTAATTATGTCCTATAGATGATGAGATATGTAGAATCTTTGTAAATGTGCAGCTGTTGCAGCTTTGGACAAGTCTTGTGTTTTTGTTACTGGTGTTTGAACAATTGTTTCACAATTTATAGATGCAATTTTTTTGCAAGCTAGTGAACTTCTGCCCCTCTTTTCTTCTGAGAAACTCAGCCTCTCTTTCTGTAGCTGTTTGCCACATGAGTGTTCAGACACATCACACAGGTGTTTCTGCTGCCTAAGCCATCTTCACTAACTTACTCTGATCTTTGTCTGTGCCTAGGTTTCTGGTTCCCTGCATACAGCTGAGCAACACTTTCCTTCCATGCCTGCGGTCCTTGTGTATGTGTGCTGTCAACGTTGTCATCTCTCCATTCTGTGCATCTGTTGCTCTCTGCTGCAGCCAAATCGCAATTTCACTGTCGAACAAGGACTGGATTCAAATGAAAGACAAAGACACAGTATGAATGCAAGATATGCACTCAGTAGGTGACTGAGTGAATGCTTAAATTGGGGGCCTATTTCTCTTTTCTTTCTTTTTCTTCATTTTTTTTTTTAAATTTATGGTTTATTAACCTGCTCTGTTAATCCTACTCAAAATGTTTTCTACATGTAAACCAATTTCTGCTATTACTTCCACCATCAGGCTATAAAGAAATGTACTGCTACTACTAATACTACTATTATTATTGTTGTTGTTGTTGTTAATCATTTGATTTCTGGTTTATTTGTATGAAAGCTGAAACAAACTACAAATAAAAATGTCAAGACTTCCACGGGTATTTATTTATTTTGGGTTTTTATTTATTTTCCAAAATGAAATAGTTATGAGTGTAAATCAAACAACATTCAAGAAATATAAAGGCCACTAATATTTTGTTTTTAGTCAGTCTTTTTTTAAAGTAGAAAGTTTACACATACTATAAAATATAAATGTTCAAATAATTATCTCGTCCTAAAAATTAATTTATGAAGCAAAAATATAAGTCCTATTCATTTGTTTCAAACTTGGCTTTGGGGCTTTTTTTCAGCTTTTCCTAAAAAACTATGGATGATTTTCACAAATTAATCAGAACATTTAGATTGATTGCTTAATCAGTAGTTGAAGCATGCGAACTTAGTGTTAATTGCTTCGAGAGAGAAAAAAATCAGACATTACGCTTTCATACTGTTCTCAATTTTATATATGAATGAATGGAAACGATGCATTTTAATGTTTTATATTTTCACAATTATTCCGAGCTTCCCTGAAGCCCTTGAAAGCATCGTTTAATACGTAACTACCCGGCATGCACTTCGCCGTCGCCATTTTTCTTGTTGTGATTTGCGAGGTACGCTGTCTTTACAGTTCTGGAAAAGTCTCTGAGAGATTTTTATTATTAATCTTGTATTTGAACAAATATCTTTTTAAGCTCATTTTGAAAACATGGCGCAGTACAAAGGCGCTGCCAGTGAGGCTGGCAGGGCCATGCAGCTCATGAAGAAGCGTGAAAAAGAAAGAGAGCAGCTGGAGCAACTAAAGCAGAAGATTGCAGAGGTTTGGAACTTCTCCCCCTTGATTATAACAAGTTCAATAATAGTTCAGTGTCAATGAGAGCTACTTTAGCCTTTTATAAGTGGTCAAAACGACAGAACGCAGTCGCGTAAGGCCGGCAGCAAAGCGAGTGAAGGACAGTGGCGGAGCCAGGAAATTGTCAGTGGGGTGGCCAGGATGGATCTGTGACGATTTTAGGGGGCAT